CATGTAAAACCCTCTCGCCGCTTCCTGTTTGTCTGGCCTGTTTCGCGCTGCTCCTGCTCCTCCCCTTCGTGAAAGCCGATTCCCTGCCGCTCCTCACGTGGATTTCAGAGACATTCCTGACTGCTCTAATCTCCCGCTGCCTCCTCGCCATCCTGACCTACTCACGCTCGCCCTCCTCCACCGTCCAATTTGCCTGCTCATCTGCTGTCATCACCACCGCGAAGGCTATCGAACATCGGCGAATAATACCACTCCCGCCCCCGGCCGCTGCTACGCCGCACCTCTCACACTCTCCATTCCGCCAGTCTCCTCCACAACACCTGCTCCACCCCCAGCACACCGCTGTCGGACTGTCGGGCTGCTCGAGACCGCGACACAACCCACTCGCCGCCGTCAGCGCCGCATTGAGCCCGCCATGAAGCGCCAAACGCCCGTCGCTCACCTGCTCTATGCCTACCTGTTCCCACACCCGACTCCGAGCGACCCGCCTTCATTCTCGGCACATCTGGCTAGAAACCTGGTGCCCGAAGTGCGCATAGAAGTCGCCACCTTCTACGGTGACCTCAACTCGGCCGAAGCTCGCTACCCTGGCCTCAACTACTGTCATCCACCCCATCGAATGCGTCTCGGCCGCTTCAAGCACCACAAGCGCTTATTCGAGGCCTTTGACAACCTCGGTCTGACGTACGGCGAGATTCAAGACTTTTGCTGTTGGGAAGGCACGAAGTGGGCCCGCGAACGCTACGAGAAGGATGAGGGCGTCAAAGTCATCGACACTACCGGGGACGAGATTGGGCCATGGGTGGACCGCAGAGAAATGGCATCTGCCGACGACAGGAGAAACTCCATAACGCGTAAGACGGACATTTCAATCGTTGTCGAAGATGCCGAAACGAGTCGTAATCGACAACCCACCATCAACGAGGATGATGACGAGGATATGGAAGATGACAACGGCTCAGATGCGGACGAGCACGAGACTGCTGACGCAGAGACGGAGACTGAGCGGGAATCGCCTTCGGAAGCAGCAGCCCGGGAACAGCACGTAGCAGAACTCGAGCGCCGCCGCGATCACGCCCTGGAACAAAGCTTCAACCAACGCATCATCGCTGCTTGGGAGCAAGGACAGAGCCTGCCGCCAGAGCTCGAACAATACCTGAAAGAGCAGTCTGAGCGCGGTAACCATCCCGAACTGAGTCGTCTGTTGGCTCGTCGACGCTCCTCACGGACATACTCAGTTCCAGACAACAATGCTCTGGTCGCCAACCAGGCATCCCGAGCAGCTGCGTAATAAACACAGTTACCATGACGACTCTATCGCGATGAGCGATACGACAATGATACCAACCAGCATGAAGCGTGAAGGAGATGAGGACGTTTGGCAGAATTAATGCATATGAGAGGAGGCGTTGTTTTTACATCATGGAGCGACTACCACCAAAGCGAGGCAGCAGGGATATTTGCACAGTGAAGCTCGCTGCAAACTTCTTTAGCATGGCGTTCAACGAGTTTTATGGGCATTGCGTGGAGTAAGGAATTACAAAGAGCCTGATCAGGATCAAGCTCTTTTCTCGGTAGGCCAGGTTTTGGCCGATTTTATCTGATTTTGTATGCATCAACATTAGCAATGCTATGATATATCAATCTCCGCTGAACATTGAGGCTTCTCTGGTAAATGTCAAGACGCGGCTGTGTTGAAAGTGACGTGAGGTTGGTTTGACGTAAAACGAGCTGTTTCATTTGCCCATCTACGAGCGAATCAAGAATTGGGAAATTGCCATCATTTTGAGACCAACAGACATTGACACCATCTCCATTTGTCTGTCTGTCACTAACGGCCGTGACAGCCAGTTCTCCATTCTCTACACAAAACGTCGCCGCATAATAATGACCATCCAACGGCCGTGTTTGGTTTCATGTTCGGTCATCAAGCCTTGTGAAGAACATACTCAAGCTGCAATTCCAACTGCGAAGAACCTTGTTTCATCAAAGTGGCATCTGCGACCACATCAAGCAAGCTTTTCTTTGCATAAAGTAACTTACATTAGATCATCTCATATTCTGAAGACTGGAAGGTTTTACGGAAAGCCAGTCCAGGCGGAAAGTGTGACAACGAGAGGCTCGGACTTGGCTTTTGCAACCATACCTTAGCAACAAATGAAGGAAAGTGATGCAGCGAGATGACCAGTGAGCAAACTGCAAAGCCGAATTCATACCCATCAACACCACCAATCCAAGTCTGCAGTCTTCTTTTTACTCAACTATTACTGCCTCCAAGCACGACACACCTAACCTTCCCTCGCCAACGCCATCAAATCCGTCCAATGTCTCGGTCTCTCCCTCCCACCCACATGCACCTTATGCAAATACACACGAGAGATAGTGACTGCAATGTTGATTGATTAAGGAACGAACTACGGAGGTGCTAGAAACTACATAGAAGTACTCGCTCGAGTGAATGCCAAGAGTGAACGGACGACTGCCTGA